CCATGCAGGTTTTACGAGTTAGTAAAAAAATATTGACATTTTTTAATAAAAATAAAAGCGGATAACTGTAAAAGTAATATAACTGTATATAAATGAAAGTAGTTGTTACCATGTTTGATAATCTTTGCGCTATAATTCTTTTGTAGTAGATTAATTTGTGCCGAACAGAAAGTCAGTTTCATATTATGAATAAAACTAATCCTTTCTGAGCTTCGTTCGATACTATATTTTTTTATTTATTTATTTAAAAGAGAACTAACTATAAATAATTAATCCACTTGTAAGAATCAGCACTGGCTACCAGGCCCTTCGGCTCTTAATACTAAGATTATGGTGAAAAGAAAATATTTAGTAAGATTATTTAGTTGTATGTGGTGTTATATGTCTTTGATATTACACAGTTTAAGAAATTTATTAATGGCACTGATGTTATCGCTGTTTGTTGCTTTGAGAAGGTCGGAAGGTCACTTATTCTCAAAGGTTGATTTCCTTAATAAATGCAGTGCAGGGCATTCATCGATGAGGTGAATGACTGATTGGGTGGGAGCGTTGCAATGGTGGCAGCTTTGTTGATCGGTACCGTTAAGAATATGGCTGTGAGTTCTTGTAGTGTGGCCTATTCTAAGACGAGTGAACGTCTTGATGTTGTGGCATAAGCAGTCCGATGGGTAGATAGGTTTTACACCAGTTGGGTTTTGAACTCTGTAGTGATGTTGGTAGCTAGTCCAATCTCGGAGATGTATATGATGGCAGTATTATTCTGTTCTTGTTCTTGTTCTTGTTCTATTCTGTTATGTTCTTTGATGTCTTTAGTAGTAAAGTGGGGAAAGAACACCAACGGCTCTCTACTACCTTCTCTTGCATGTTTACCTGCTTGCCTTTTATACCAGCATGCCCTGGTACCCATGAATTATTTGCTGTTGATGAGGCGAATAGAACCGCTTCGTAAATTGCTGCAGCTTCTGCTGTAAAAACCGAGCAATATGTTGGCAAAGCACCGACAGTAATAGCGACACCATGATCGTTTGACACGGCAAACGTGGTAGTAGTATCCGTTTTCGACCCKTCGGTATATAWGGGTTCCCATTCTGGTTTATAGGACTCAATAGCCTCGTTGAAGAGCAGAAAAAATTCGTTGGAGCTGGTTTTTAGTTTCTGGTGCTTTGACAGAGTGTTTATAAAAGAGTGTTTGGGAGTCAACCATTGTGGATGGTCAGGCTCGACGAGTAATTCGAGTGTGGACATTAGATTGAGGTCGTTGATCAGGGCTACGCATTGCATGAARGTGGAATGTTTGTTCGATGCATTCATCCTAGTTGTAGACGTCTCGAGGATGTTGAAAAAGGTTTTGTTCCTATTATGGAGAATCCTAGGTAGAAGCATCATGGTATTATATTTAGTTCTTTGCTGGATGTTCGGTAGGCCTKCTTCGGCTAAAACGGCTCTGATCGGAGAGGTGGGGAACGCGTGTATGCTTCTTCTTACTGCTGTGTGGTAAGGCGCTTGGATGCATGCAAGGTGAGATTTTGCGCAGTGACCATATATCGCGAGTCCAAAATCAATTTTTGATAACATCAGTGCTTTTACAATAWTTACAAGATTTGACATATGTATATGACAGTGCTTAGATGATAAATACTTAATAATGTTAAGTCTAGGTATTAAATTTATTCTAACATATTTACAATGTTCCTTGTAAGTTAGTTTTTTATAAAAATTATACCAAGTATTCTGAGTGTATTAGTGTGAGGAATTTGGTTATTAGAAAGGGATAGGATAGGAAGCTTTTGTTAGCTGAGATTTTACATTCAGAGGTTTTTGACCAGTTGGATATGTCATCTAGAATTCTCGTGAAAGTTTCTGTCATTAGTGTAAGGTCTTTGAGAGCGGAAAATGTTAGAACGTCATCAGCTTACATTAAATGTTCAACCGTATCATATTGGGATAATAGGGAGCTGAATTCATTAAAAGCAATTATAGATAAGGTGACTGAAAGAGGTGAGCCTTGTGGCACGCCGTTATGCAAAGGGGTTTTGATTATTTACGCTGACAAAAATTTTACGATTCAGGAGGAAGGCTCTAAACAAACTGTAGATTTTGTCTCCAACGCACCAGCGTTCTAATTCTCGTAAAACTATATGTGCACCAATTCTGTCGAAAGCCTTTTCAAAATCTAGACTAAGGACGGACAGGTGGTTTCTTGCAGAGAGCGTTGTCGAAGCACAGTGTTCAAAATACAGAAGTGG